CCAACTCAAAAAAAAAAAAAAAAAAGTAAGTCTGCAGCCCCACAAGAAGAAAAGCACAATCCATTGCTCAGGAACCTAGAGTTATGCGACAAAGCCACAAGGAAAGGGACTTTCCGTCAGCCTCAGTTTACGTGGTGTTACCCAGGAGGAGGTCAAGGGACAGAGAAGACCCACAGGCAAGTATCGACAGCAACACATGCTGGTATTGTGACACAGGCACCCATGACTGAGGGCTCCACCCCAAGGGCTTCATGCTGCCCAGCCCTTTTAATTCTCCCCGTGATGGGGTGAGGAACACACTCTTATCATCATCAGCCCCATTCCACAGATTCAAGAACTGAGGCACAGAGAGTTTCAGTAATTTTCCCAAAGTCACGGAGCTGGTGCGTGGCAGAGCCCCACGTGAGATGCAGATGGGGTCAGTACTGTGCCCACTGGTCTGCCGCTGCATGCCCTCATCCACAAGGCAGGCCTGAGGGGTGTGATTCATTTCCGACCGTGCTTCATCCACTCGTTAGAAAGGAAAACAACAGTATGGCTACTTTCAAAGGGCCTTCAGAACAGCTGGCTAGGAATAGAGGTCAAGGTAGAAAGGAGCTAGCTGGAGCGAGGGGAAAGAGGAGACAGAGGGAGGATAAAGGTTAGTGAGGGAGAGGAACGGTGTTCCAGCAGAAGGAACCACCTGTGTGGAGGTGTGGCAGAGACGGTGGGGGGGGATTGGTGAGGGGAGAGGAAGATAAACAGAGACAAAGAGACATAGAGACAGAGAGAAAGAGGTTGATAGATAGACAGAGAGATTGAAGGAGAGACAGAGAGAGAGAGAGATGGAGGAATGAATTGGTGGGGAAGAGGAAGAGAAACAGAGACACAGACACACACACGCACAGAGAGAGAGAGAGAGACTGAGAGAAACAGAGGTTGAGATAATGGGAGGGATGAGAGAGAAACAGAGGCATACACACACAGAGAGAGAGACAGAGACGGAGACACACACAGGCCGAGACACACACAGGCTGAGACACCCTGGGAGCTACTGGAGAGATGAGCTCTCCAGTGCACAGGGCTGGTGGTGAGACAGGCAGGTGTGGTTGGCATGAGGGAAGCACCCTGAGGGCCTGGGAAGAGGAGTGAGGAGCTCTGGCCTCAGGATGTGGCTTCTGGGCTGAGGGGGATTGAGGGCCCCGGACCGCAGGAGGACAGCACAGGGAGGCACAGAGGGCAGAGTGGCCAGAACTGACCAGAAGGTGTGGGCAAGGTACACTGGGCATTGATGATCTCAGCATGGCGCCCCCTCCCTGCTCATCAGCTGTTGGGGTGCCCCCTGTGAACCAGTTCCCCTGCAAGGTAGGGGTGGCCTACCCCAGGGTGGGGACCCCGACACCTTCCAGTCCCAGATGTGGGGTCCCTCCTCAGCTCTTTCTCTCTCTGTCTACAGAGACCCATGACCATCCCGGCTTACCCGGTAAGTGCCAGTGGGTGGTGGTTTCCCTGAGGGGGGGGTCCCACGGCCCCTCTCACCCTGCCTGTCTTCCGCCCTTCCTGCAGGGTCCTGGATACCAACAGCTGAACAGCCTGCCCGTGAGTAGGGGGTGGTGGTGGGAACTGGGGCGGGGAGAAGCAGGAGGGTTGGAGCCCCAGTTGTGCTAACCCAGAACCTATGTGCATGCCTGCACATGCAGGGATGCCCTCAAAATCTGTCTGTTCTTGGAGCATAATGCTGCTGCTTCCTTGCTTTCCAGATCATGGAGGGACCCCCGACCTTCAACCCGGTATGGCATCCTGTGGTGGGCGACGTGAAGGGAGGCAGGGGCAGGTGGAGGGGAAGGTTTCGGCCCCTGGGAAAGTGGGCTGGGGTGTTTGGGGTGGCAGCTGAGGAGGGTGGAGTTGGTGATCCGGGTCAGGGAGGGGACAGGGTTGGGGACGTGTCCCTGGAGGAATGGGGCCTCTTCTGAGAGGGCATGGGACCCTGTGTTCTCCCGACAGCCTGTGCCATACACAGGCAGATTGCCAGGGGGACTCACTGCCCGGAAAACCATCATTATCAAGGGCTACGTGCCCCCCACCGGCAAGAGGTACGGAGCCCAGATGGGTGGGGACCCTCCGCCTGCTCCTCCCTCAGACTCAGCTGTCTGGGCCCTCTGTCCCCTCCGCCTGTGGACTCCCATCTGAATCCCCCCTCCCTCTTTGCTTCCAGCTTTGCCATCAACTTCAAGGTGGGGTCCTCGGGGGACATAGCTCTGCATATTAATCCCCGCATGGGTGAGGGCGCCGTGGTCCGGAACAGCTTCCTGGGTGGCTCGTGGGGGTCCGAGGAGAGGAAGCTCCCCAGCAACCCGTTCGGTCCAGGACAGTTCTTTGATGTGAGTCTGGGCTTTCTCCCTGCACCCCCCCCCACTTCCCGCCCAAGTTCAGCCCCAGCCCTGGCCTCACACTCGCCTCTCCCCGCAGCTGTCCATCCGCTGTGGCTTGGATCGCTTCAAGGTGTACGCCAACGGCCAGCACCTCTTTGACTTCTCCCATCGACTCTCTGCCTTCCAGAGGGTGGATGTGGTGGAGATCCAGGGTGATGTCACCTTGTCCTATGTCCAGATCTGATCTCTTCCTGGGACCATCAACTTTATTGGGGGCCAGTCCCCCACACCCCAGGTGTGTGCCGTCCCTTCCCTTAACTGTGTTCTTCCCTTCGTAGATCCCCAGGACTCTCTTCTAAACTCCTAATAAAGCATCCGAGGGGGTCTCATAAGTGTGTCTCTCCCTCACTGCTCCCTCCCTCCTTGGTCCAATGGCTCAGTGTTCTTCGTCTACTCACTTATCTGTCCATCTGTCCTCCCGTCATTATGAATCTGGCCACTCCCCAAGCACTGATTTAGGGCTCATTCACTCTTCACAGCAGCTGCAGGAGGTGGGAACTATCCCATGATCCCTCAGTGACAGACGACAATATGGGCAAAGAAAAATAAAGCAAATTGCCAGTCACACAGCCCATAAGCGGCAGAACTAAGACTCAAATCCAGCTGGTCCAGCTCCCAAGCCTATATTGCCCATCATTCTGTCCATCCATGCTTCAACCTCTCCACTCATCCATCTCAACATCCATCAGCGTTCGGTCCATCTCCCGATCCGTTTGTCCAGTCACACTTTTATCCAACCCTTCCTTTTGTCCATCCTGCGGGAGAGGGAAGAAGGGAAGTTGGATCATTCATTCTGAATGTCTTTGAAGGAAAACTTAATGAAGGGCGTACACCATCAGATATTAACATGTATTAAAAAACCAAAATGGTTAAACAGTGTGATACTAACATGAAAATAGAGAGTCCAGAAACAGACCCCGGAATATCTAAGAATGGGTGTATATCAGATGCCAACTCATGTCAATGATGAAACGATCGGCAAATTTTTCAGTTAACCCTTTGAGAAATATATAAATTCTACATGGATTAAAAAATGAAACCAGGCTGGGCGCAGTGGCTCACACCTATAATCCCAGCACTTTGGAAGGCCAAGGTGAGAGGATTGCCTGAGCCCATGGATTCCAGACCAGTCCAGGCAACTTGGCGAAACCTCATCTCTACAAAAAATCAAGAAAAATTAGCCGAGCATGGTGGCACATGCCTGTAATTCCCAGCTACCTGGAAGGCTGAGGCGGAAGGATTGCCTGAGTCCAGCAGGTCGAGGCTGTGGTAGCTGTGAGTGAGCCTCTTCCCTCCAGCCTGGGCAACAGAATGAGACTCCTACTCAAAAACAACAACAACAACAAAACTGAACACTAGAATATTTATCTCAACTTGGAATTTAAAAGAACTTTACAGGCTGGGTGCAGTGGCTCAAGCTTGTAATCCCAGCACTTTGGGAGGCCAAGGTGAGAGGACTGCTGAGTGCACGGCTTTGAGACCAGCCTGGGCAGCTTGGCAAGACCTCATCTCTACAATAAATCAAAAAATTAGCTGGATGTGGTGGCACACGCCTGTAGTTCCAGCTATGTGGAAAGCTGAGGCAGAAAGATCACCTAAGCCCAGCAGATCGAGGCTGCAGTGACTGTGAGCGTGCCACTGCCCTCTAGCCTGGGGACAGAGTGAGATTGCAACTCAAAAAAAGGAAGAAAAATTATTGACTTAGAGGCTGATTGGTGCATGAGGGAAAAGGCATATAAACGTGTTATGCTTGTGTATATGGGGGTCTTTAGAATGATGACCCAAAGAGATAGGAGAAATTGACTTTTTTTTTTGAGTTCGAGTCTCAATCTGTCAACCAGGCTGGAGTGCAGTGGCATACTCGCGGCCACCGCACCCTCAACCTGCTGGGCTCAGGTGATCCTTCCACTTCGGCCTTCTAAGTAGCTGGAACCACAGGCATGTGCCACCATGCCCGGCTGATTTTTTGTAGAGACTTTATTGTATTGCCACTGCACTCTAGCCTGGGTGACAGAGTGAGACTTTAACTAAGAAAAAACAATGTAATGGACTTTTATGTCAAGCTTAAGAACAGGAAAAACTAAGTTACCAAGAGAGCAGATCTGTGGCTTCCTGGTGCCAGGGGTGTGGTTGGGAGGGTGTGGTGGTGATGTTCTGTCCTTGATTATGGTGGTGACCACATACCTGATGTATTAAAATACATAGAACAGCTGGGCGCAGTGGCTGATGCCTGTAATCCCAGCACTTTGGGAAGTCGAGACAAGAGGATTGCCAGGGATTTGAGACCAGCCTGGGCAACATCCAGGGATCTCATTTCTACAAAATATCAAAATAATTAGCTGGGTGTGGAGATGTGCACCTATAGTTCCAGGTACTTGAAAGGCTGAGGTGTAAGGATTGCCTGAGCCCAAGAGGTCAAGGTTGTGGTGAGCTGATTGTGCCACTGCACTCCAGCCTGGAGGACAGAGTGAGACTCTGACTTAAAAAAACAACAACAAAAAAATTAACAAAAAACCCTTCACCCTTATGTTTTCTTTTGAAATAACACATATACAAAAAGTTATAATGTCTCAATTTTTGGTGACCTCCAACTACCTCATTGTGTTTTCCACAAACAAGCATGGGCTCCTGAATGTCCACAGTCAGAAAACTGGGACATTCACTTAAGGGGTCGCTACCCTCTAATTCCAAGGCCCAACCACTTTAAGCACTGTCCCAAATATGTCTCACTTTACACTGTGGATTTTTAAAGTTGTCCCAGATGGATGTTAACCTTACCAAAAAAAAATTTTTTTTTTTTTGAGTCGGAGTCTCACTCTGTCACCCAGGCTGGAGCACAGTGGCACACTCACTCGACCTGCTGGGATCAGGTGATTCTTCTGCATCAGCCTTTCAGGTAGCTGGAACCACACGTGTGCGCCACCATGTCCAGCAAATTTTTAAAATGTGTTGTAGAGGTGAGGTCTCGAAAAGTTGCCCATGCTGGTCTCGAGCCCGTGGGCTCAGGCAATCCTCTCGTCCCGGCCCCCTAAAGTGCTGGGGTTACAGGCCTAGGCATTGCACCCGGCCTAAATATTTATAAGTACTTGACACACCCAAATAAAAACAAGAAGTAACTCATTCAACGAGGAGCCCTGCAGGACGAGGAGAATCCAGGTTCTCTCGGGCGCCCATGTGCCAGGGGATCCCCCTCACCACCCACCCGCAAGAGCCCAGCAAGGGCCGCCCGGGGCCGCGCCGGGGGCGGAAAACCTGGGGTGCTGACCCG